CAGTGAAGTAAGCCAGGCCCAAAGAAACATAGGTCCCATGGTTTCCCTTATTTGCAATAACTAGTATATGTCTGAGACAAGCAGAAAAGGTCAGATAAGTTGATGTTGGGTGAAACAAACCCCAAGACAGTGGTTTTTCTATGTGCCTTTGTGAGGAGGAAATGGATATTTAAAATAAAGAGCAAGAAAATCTCTTGATTCTTTGGGTAAGCAACCCATTGATACGGGAGCAGTGGTGGGAAATGGATGGTTTTTCTGTCCTCTAGCAAAATAAAAATGGAGGGATGTTGAGCTTTTTATCAACAATGGCAACTTGCAGATTGGATAAAATTTGTGAGCAAGTCAACCCATGTTAGTTTATGTCCCAGAATGTTTTGTGATAGAGTCACCTTCCAGAATACCATACACAAAATTACCAGTCCTCTCTGCAAAACCCTGTGTTCTGTGGAATTGTGACACTTAAGCATCCTATGTTCTCATGCATATATATGAATTCAATTTTGTCCAGAAAGAATAAGAGCAGGTTGTAAAGGAAGCATCTCTTTTTACCATGGAAAGGGAAAACAGCCTCCACAACCAATCTACACATGGAATTGATTAGGATTTCTTAGACCCAGAGAATCTGCTTCTGACTCTTCATACCTATCCAGGATTCTACCACGTCAGCCTTCCAGTTAAACTGCTGGAAGGCGTAGTCATCTTCCAACTGCAACTTCCAAGAAGCCATTGCTTTGGCCAGAGAAGGAGCCTTTTCACTGAGAGCCTGGATCTTGGCGGAAATCTTGTCCTTGTTCTGAGTTTCCTCCTGCAACAGCAAGGTTGGAAAAAGAAGGAGATGAACCTGTATACCGAGGAGTGTCCAGAGCGAGAAATGTGAATTTGGTAGTTCTTCTCATGTTTACCTAAGTGTGACAGAATCCCTGGATGAACTCACCTTACTCAGGATGTCTTCTGCTTGTGCATATACATTTTGCACTCGGAGCTCATGGACAGCAAAATCAGTATCCAATGCTTCATGTTTCTTCAGCAAGTTCTGCATAGACAAATCAGTGAAATTAGAATAACTGGTCTGGAAAATCTGTATCTACTCACATTGAGGCATGTTGTGATACTATTCACCAAGGTCAGTTCAGCAAAAATTATAAACTGAGTTTATGTTCTATAGCTTCTTTAACAATGTTGCTGAATTGCCTTCTCAAAACACTTTCCTTTTCAAAGAAGGCACTCTTATGGGAAAAATGTCACAGGTATACAAGTGACACTGTTTCCAAATGATCATAATATGGAAAGTATTTTTTTAAGTTTTTCAATAAGGGTGCTGATCAACATGACCTAAGAATATCCCCATATTTAGGGTTCACATAATTCTATGAACCATTACATCTATCAGAAAAATGTTAAGTATTAAGAAAATTCTACAAACCAGGATACAGTAAAGTCACCAGCACAACCATGTTTATGCAGCACTATTCACTATAGCCAAGATATGGAATCAACCCAGATACCCTTCAATGGATGAATGGATCAAAAATTTTGATATACATATACACAATGAAAATTCACCCTTCCATTGGAAAGAATGATATTGTACTATTTGTAAAGAAATGGAAAGACCTGGAAAAATTATGCTAAGTGAAATAAGCCAGATCCAGAGAGACGAAAGATGCATATTTTTCCTTATATGTGAAATCTAGATTTGGCTTATAAACGTATACATAAATACACTGGGTAGTATGCAATTGTATACAAATGAGGTAACTGAAATATAGTTGATTCAAGAGAGATCTCAAATAGTGTAATTCCTTAGAAATGCAAAGTTAAAGTTTGGCAAAATAAAACATCAGGAAGGGGCTAAGGGAAAAAGATAGATGAAAGAAGAGGAAATAGTGACAGTCAAGAATCCAATGGATATCCTACAAAATTAAGAAGAGTGAGGAAAGGGGTGGAGAGGGATGGATAAGAATATTGAAAGAGGTGACATTAATTAAGATTTATTGTATTTCACAAACTGCTTTGTTAAATGGTAACTCCTGTGTACAACTACTTAAAGATAATTTTAAAAATCAAAGATTAAAAGACCATTCTAAATCAAGGACAGATCCTATGGGCAGAATTTAAGGAGGGCATGGAAGTGTCTTTTTCTAAAATACCAATTTAAAAAAATGATGAGTCCTGCCTTCATGACTCACTAGTTCCATGGCCTTGTACAAGTTACTTATAGCTTCTGACCTTTGATTGTTCATATTTAAAATTGGAAGAATTATCCATATTTCAGCATCTTCTTCAATGGGGAGAAGAGTTCTGATTTTACATGTGAAAGCTCTGACTACTGAAGAATAGATCCCAGTAAAAGAAAGTGGGGAAACATGATACATATTTGGCAGTTCTTCACCTGGGTAGCAGCCAGTGTGTCTCCAGAATCCCCTCGGGTAACCATTGCTTCCTTTTCAGTGAGCCACACCTCCTCTTCCTCAGCATTCTCCATGAATTGCAGGAATTGCAGAGACTCTTCCAGCCTCAGCCCTCTGTAACAGGTGGTTAGCAGGGAAGGGTTAAGAAGGAACAGGTGAGCAATGAGACCCCCCATAGTGTGGCACAACCCCAACCAAAGTGCACTAGCTGATTCCTACCAGGCAGCCAGAACAGAATAAGGGAAGAATACAGTCCAATACATGTCTGCTCATCAGTGGTGTGGATCTCCCTGTGAAATGGAGGGAACAACTTCCCTACAAATTCATTTTGGGCCATCATCTACTCTCTAAGAAAATACACTGAAGAAAGGAAACCCTAAGCAAACAAAAGGCAATGCCTTCACTGTGAGGGAGTAGCCCTCTGTCTATGCCAAGCCCTGCCTTCTTTTCTTGCATAATAAATAAACCACAAAGCTAAGTTTCCCTTTATCCTCTACGGGAAAAATGTCTTCTTACTGCCAACAGGCATTGTTACATTTGCCACGGAGTTATATGGCTCATTTTGGCTGTGTGGATGCAAGGGAGAAAAATACTCCATGCTTTCATTACTAAGGTCAGCGTGTAATATCAAAACTGGCGAGATAAAGTGAAACAGAGAGTATGAAGGATGACAGTTATAGAAAATAATGGCAAAAGACAGCTGTGGAGGAAAGGCATTTTCAGAGAAGAAGCCATGATAATCAGTTTAGGATAAATGGCAGAAAGCTTCTTGGAAGACATGGATCTTGAGCCAGGACTTTGGGGAGAGATAGGTCATCATGGAGAAGAGTCAGGCTGAGAGGGGACTTCAGCATCCTGGCCTTCCAGGGCCAAGCTGATACCTGAGGCTCAGGAAAGTAAGTGAGTCTTCTATCTCCAACTCACCGTTCCTTGGCCAACTCTTTGAGCTTCTCCCAGTGTTGAACAAACTGAGCCAGCCGCTTCTGGATCTCCTCTTGCTCCACAGCAGCCTTGTCTGCCAATTTCTCTGCCATATCTAGTACGTTCTGAAGAACACACCCCCTCCAAGTTGTGTTATCCCCAAAATGATTTCCCCATTCAGCCAGAGACCCTGACAAATTTTCTAGTCCTTTCCAATGTCCAGATCATTTTTACCCCCCACCCCCAGCCCTGGGAATCAAGGCAGTCCTAGAAATCCCGGGGAAATGAAGGGAGATGCAGCGAGAGCTATGATGCTAATCTTCTGAGTTGTTGGCAAATAATCTCAGTGCTCACTCTTCCCTCGATCTGCCTTATGGATTATTCATGGCTACATGGGGCCTCTGCTTCCAAGTCAGACCCAGAGCTATCTTCTTCTTCTAAGACTCAAGTACAGTTTTCTCAGATGCCCCAGCCTACATCACAACTACAAATGACTGCCCTGAATTGTTGGAGGTACTCCTTCCAGAAACCTCCTATTTAGAGGAGAGAAAAAATGTGGATGAGAAAATGAAAATGAATTCTCTTTCTTTTTCTTTTTGGTCAGTTGTGGGGCTTGAACTCAGGTCCCGGGTACTGTCCCTGAGCTCTTTTGTTCAAGGCTAGAACTCTACCACTTGAGCCACAGTGCCACTTCCAAGAAAAAGAATTCTTATGAACTATATAACTAGCTCCTGGTTACCGAGGAAAATTACTTTCGTATTTTGTAGCATCAACTTATCTACTACAACATAGGAGATGGCTATTATATGGATATGAATATCTCTTCAGGTCTGATATTCAATCTTACCTGGATAGCAGGTTCATGGGCTACCAGCTCCCCCTCTAAACGTTTATGCCTTCTCAATAAGTTCTGAACGCTCTGCAAATCCCTTCCATAGTCCTGGGAGCTTACTCGTAACAACTTCTCCCTGAGACAGAAGAAGCAAGTAGAATATCCAGAGTTTAGACACCTGAGTCCATCCTAGATTAATGTTTTTCTAAGTGTATGCACATGGGGAGGGGGAACATTCTGAAACACATTGATGCCAATGCCAAAAATACAAGTGATGACAGAATCTTCCAGCAGTACTCTGCTCATGCCAATATAAATTAATGACAATAACATGCAGGTGTCTCCCATGCACATGGCTGTAACAGTCGCCCTATTAATCCCTGATTACCTGCACATATTGTCCTTTCTGCACAAGAGCACACACTATTTCTCTCTCTTTAAAAAGTGAGAAATTATGTGTCTCCCATGGTTCTTAAAATTATTCTTTTCATTCATACCAGTAATGAAATTCAGCTAGATGTGTGTATAAAGAGTTGATATTACAGGTGTCAGGACAATGGGATGGCTCCAATGCAAAACGTTTGAACAGTGCCATGAAGCAGATAGACTACATAGACAGGGTTATGCTATTTATTTTATGGCTTCTAAAGTTTTTTTTTTAAAATGTCCTATTTATTGCCCACTACAGTAGGTTTCCCTTACATTTTCATTATTCATAAGAATCAGTAGATTTGCAGAGAAGAAATTTGATAAAGCAGGTTAAATAAGAAGTAGACAAAAATAACAAAAATGAGATTAGCAATAAAACCACAGCAGATAGGAGTCACATTTTCAGTGTTCATTTAGTGTAATGTATGAACTTGATACAGAAAAATAATGGGAATGATATTATCCACAGGTAAGCTGCATACACTCAGCTGGCTCTGTGTTATAAACTATTTAGACAAACATATATGGTATGTATGTAACTGCTTCCCTCACCCTCCACACTTCCGTTTCTCTGCTTATACCCTATGGGGGCATTTGGGAAAGAGAAAACCAATATAATGAAAACATAATACTAAATTCCAAAAACAATTATAAATTTCATATCAGCATAAATATGAACATGCATGGTGAGTTACACAGCTACAGTCCTGGATTTTTTACACAGTGTGCTGAGGATACCTACTCTATCCAGGATTCCTCATCATCCAGGTCCTGGAAGAATTGGAATAAGGCATAGGCCTCCTTCAGTTTTTCATGGTGTGCAGCTGCCAGGCTCTGGACATTCTTGAAGCGCTCATTGACACTATCCATTTTCTTCTCTATCTGGTCAACGTTGAAAGTACCACTGGAGATCAACTCCTTAGCCAGGTTATTCAGGTCCTTAAGTGAGTTCTAGAAAACCCAAGTATGCTCATGAATTGCAAAGTACAGGCATTATATAGACCCCAGACTTTAATCACTACTAGTTCTGGTTCAAAACTAGGTCAAATAGATTGTCTGTGATGATGGTGATTTTTGACATTATACAGAATTACGTGTTTTACACATAGGTGTGTGAGTCAGGTTGGGTATGGGTCAGATCAGTGAGCAGTATGGATAATAACATGACCATGTCACTCCAACTGTGTGTTCTCTCTCTCCTGTTCTTCCTTCCATCATGTTTGCCTGCACTTTCTCTCTCTCCCCACCTAGGAAACAAGATCTTGATGAGTAATTACTCGTATAGGATAGTTTCCCCTCACAGTACTGAATTTGATGACAATGCTTGATTGGTCAAAACATCCAACGACATTAATTTTATTTGTAACATTCCTAGACTGACTCTGGAAGACATCCAGGCTCTTCTATGTTTTATTCCCGTTTTAACACTGTTCCCAAGTTGTCAGCTAGGAAATGCCGCCAAATCCTATAGATTTAAATTTAGAAAATCCTTGATTTTTTGCCTTTTCATCGTGGCTCTAGAATACCGAATAAAAGAGCTGACATGTGATTCTCCAAGATGAAATTAACATCAACCAGAACTTGTTGTCACTTCTCCAGAACAAATTTTTGCTCTTCGGTAGCTACTAGAATCCTCAGGATTTCTAGAATGTATGTATACTTCAAATGGATTCTGTGTTCTCATCTGATTTTTTTTGTTTCTACTTTTGTAATAGAAATTTAAATTTTCTTTCAAAAGATTTATAAAGTATGTAGTTAGGGAAAACATCCAGTTTATTTACATGTATCAGTAAAAATACATACAAGATAATTTTTAGGATCCATTTTCTGGAGTCTTAGAGTTTATCTTTTGGGTGGGAGGGGGTAGTACTAGGGCTTGAACTGAGAGCCAAAGTGCTTTTTTGCTCAAGACTGGTGCTCTGCCACTTGAGCTATACCTCTACTTCCAGCTTTTTGGTGGTTAACTGAAGTGATGAGTCACATGAACTTTTCTGCCTGGATTGGCTTTGAACCAAGATCTTCAGATCTCAGTCAGTTAAGTGGATAGGATTAAAAGGATGAGCCACTGGCACCTGACTAGACTTTTTATCTTATTGGTAATTGGTAGTGACTGTCACAAAGGCTCTGAATCCCTTGGACTTAGCCTGGCTAAAATGAGTGCTGGTTGAGAATATCAAGGTGAGTTTTGCAAGGCTGAGTTCCCAAATGATCTTCTAAGACAGACAAGAGAGAGATGAAAACCACTTCTATTCCTTCCAGAAGAGCTGGACTCCAGCACTACTTACCTCTCGAGCCACCATCTCTGCTTCCAGGAGTTGATGCTTTTTTAGCAGGTTCCCTGCGGAAGCCAAGTCTCTGGCCTGATCTTTCATGGCTAGCAGTCCCTCTGCCTAAAACAGAGAAGTAGATAACAAAGTTAATAGATTCAAACTGTATTTAAGGAGAATACAATTTGGTACCTATGTCCCCCAAATTTTCCCAAGAGGCTTAAGTAAACCATTCATATATAAATTCATCACTTAACAAGTATTTACTCAATTCCCATGCTCCAGCCATTTTCTGGTGCAATTACCTCCGAGAGCCAGAACTCAAAGTCCCGGATGCTGGTGTTGAATCTCTGCTGACGACTGGCCTCATTGAGCTTCTGCCCTTTGTCAGTCGTTCTCTCAAGGAGGTAGTCCCAATGTTCCTGTAGCTCATCCAATTGCTTCTAGCTCAAAGAAGGCGAGAGCTCATTATAACTGTTAGGACCCTTAGTCCTGGGGTACACGAAAAGCGTAATGGACAGAGGATTTGGATATAGAGTTTATTCAAAATTTTCTGGTACTTATATCTGAGAGAATAATAGAAGCTGTTGGATGGAAGGCAAAGGTTGGGGAAAACAGTATCCTGAAATGCTTACACAGACTTATTCTACATGCCAAGAGATTTTTGGAGGAAATACCAGAAAATGTAAAGATAAGGATGATACGACTTATGTGGAATGCTCTCTTGGAGTTGTGGGAACCGAGTGAGAAGGGAGTGACGTGGCCTGGGCAGCACTGCTTTCTTTTTCCTTTGTGCAACAGAAGGAAGACTATGGCCCACAGAACACATGCCACATGGGAAACATTGAATTAGTCAAAGGCTTTTCTCTTCATGTGACTTTGCAACTACCAAATGCATGCATTCTGAGCAGAACCTTTACCTTCACTGTCTCTTCCTCCCCATCGCATGCCTTCCGTTCAATTAAGGAATGCCCTAGGTCGATGACTCCAGTCACTTGCTCAGTTCGACCAGTGACTTCATTTTCAAAGGTCTGGTGTTTCAGATATTTTCTCTGGAGATAAAGCAAAAGTTAAAACTGAGTTTGAGTGACTCATGGATTTATTACAGGTAGTTCTTACCAGACACAGCTGAACGAAAGAAAGAAAAGAAAAGAAAGAAAGAGTAAATATTTTGAAACAAAAGTTTATTTCCATACACTCATCATTTAGCTAGTTGATACAGACAGAAGCTCTGTCAGTCCCATATTATTGTCAGTTGTGTTTCTATAATATGATCTATATTTTTTCTGCCTTTAATTTTATGAAAATATGTCTCTCCCAAAGCAAGCCATACACCATCAGAAAAGTAAAAGTTATAGAAATCCTCTGAAGCCCCAAAGGGCAATGTCATAGGTTAACGTGATAAAATCTAAAATTTTAGATTTGTTGAAAGATGATGGCCTGTCTTTAGCAGAAGTTAGGCAGTGTTTGAGGAAAAAGAATCAAGCATCTGCTATACAGCATGGAACTCTATGTATTCTGAGCATTGGTATTTTTTTCCCTTAATGACAATCTCCTTGCAACTACATAATGTAGATATTGTGGATTACCTCCTCATATAGGAAAAAGTAAGGTTAGTAAGAAAAATAAGGTTAGTAAGATAAGAGTTCAGTATAAGAGAATGACCATTCAATCAACAATCTAGGGATGAGAACATTTTCTGAGATTTCTGATTTGAACTTACCTGAATGTTCGTGGTGTCTTTGTATGATTCATCACAGGCTGTGGGTAACATCTCACTGATCCATTCTTCTAGCTCTTCAAGGTCATGGTAGAATTGTTTCAGATCAGCTTGGTCTCCAAGCTTCGTCCTCTCAACAATCAACTGTTCCTTGAGAGCATTCCATCTGGAAGAAGGGGCCAGATCACTCCCAGCCCTCCAACATTCCCAATAGATATGAAGTCGTTCCATTCTCTAAACTATCCCTTTTCAATGCACACAGTCTCATGGTTTTCAGATATAAAACACAGTGGTTAACTGAGGTAATTTATAAGTCACTTCCAAGTCTTTCACTCTGTATACAAGTCTAGACTAGAAAATTTCCCAAGATGTCAGGTTAGTTAAAGGCATGGGGAAAGGACAAGGACTCAGAGTATCACCCTCATAATGATGCCAGCAAAGAGAGATTCTGCTATATTTTCCTGTAGCAGCAGGTCTGACCTGTTGAGCACATGTTGGAGCCGAGTAACAATTTCTTCTTTGGCATAGTGGTCATCAGCTATGAGTCTATCAGCAAAATGTTCTAGGTCAGTAATCTTCCCTTCCTGGATAAAGCAAAAGAAAAGATCCTAGATGCTTGGAAAGCAGGCCATTGGAGTAATCCCTGACTGGATCCTAGAGTAGAATGGAGATTCCCTTTGTGGCTTCAGGGGCCAGAATCCAGGACCAAAGAATACATGCCTGATGGGCAGGTGCATTTTAATTCATCAGTTTGAAAAATAGTGAGTGATCATTCTGAGATGATCTGCTTATATAGTGTTGAGGTCCCTAAAGAACAGACGATTCTTATTGTAGTGGATGAATCCTGCATCAGACAGGGTGTTGAAATACAGACATTTATAGTCCCAAATTTTTGGGTTTTGAAAGGTGAATTCAATCGTCACAGGTGATTTGGGTAAAACACTGTCAAGCTACCTTACCTGATCCCCACCTCTGTAGGAATGTAAATGTGAATCAAAACACTTAGAAACCAGAAAGCCAGGATTTGTGTCATGATTACTAACAGTTATGACTAGAGCTTTTATATTAGCTTATCACCTGGGCAATGATTGCTTTGTCCAAATCATCCCGTTTCTTCATCAAAGTTGCCAGGCTGCGTAAGGAATCCTCATCATCTGACCTCAGAGAACTCTCCCGTGCTACCATCCAGCTCTCAATCTGTTCACAGTCCCCTCGGAACAACTGTAGGGGTAAAATTAGAGAGGTAAGCCATGTTTAGTCCAGTTGGACCAAGGGAATTAGACTCTCCCTCTCCACGGTAGCAACACCAAAGATCCTGTGAGGGCTGCCTACATTCTTCCAAGAAACAAACCAACAGTGAATCTGAGCTATAACCAAAACTTGTTGTCTTTCCTGAGCACACACTTGAAAAAACAGCTATACCAAGTTTAAGGGTGTTATCTCCTATATCTTATACCCAGTAGAGACTGAATGGTCATTTCAAGACTTACAAACATTATCCATAGAAGTAGCCTTTTAAGGGTTCTACATTCGTATTCCTTAACTATCCCTTCCTTCTCAGCTTTGACAAATTGATATAATTTGTTTTATTAACAACCATCTCTTGTAATAGAATGATGTGTTCTACATTTCTAATTTCATCATTAAAAAATGGAACACTATTTTACTAATTTTTGTGGCCTCAAGGCCTGTATATTACATGCTCTCAATGAAAATCAATGTCTTTTAAAAAAATCAATAAATTTTAATCACATCCTTTTGTATGTACTATCTGTTTGTTTTTCTAACAGGGATAAGAGTAAACAGTAATGCTCATCCTACAATGCCGAGTACTGAGCAGATAAGAGATGCTCTTGTGTTTATAACAGAAAGTCCAGTGCATTGAATGCCTGTAATAAGCATATAAAATGGCTACAAGAAACAGACTGCAGCTAAGCCCACATAACTGTTGGGAATTTGCTGTACCTGCAGTTCCAGACATTGGCCTAGCATCTTCTTGCGTTGTTCCCAAGCCTTCTCCAAATCATCTCTTTTGTGTTGAACATCCTGAAGCTTATTGGCAATCTCAGGGCTATTGCGGTGACCACTCTTTATAAGTTCTGTGCCAAAGTCTTCTAAGGCCTGGAAGGTGGGAGCCTCTGCCTCCATGTCTACACGATTCTCCTGTGGGAAGAGGGGGAAAGAGCCTGGTAAGACCAATCCTGGTGAACAATTTTAAATGAGGTCATGTAACAAGTGGTTGTGGGCTTGGTAGCTATACCTCATGTCGCTCCAGTAAGATCTCTGTGCTAGTTAAGTCTTCAGCCAACTCAGGGGATGATACAATGACACCAATGCCTTTGATCCAATTCTCTAGGTCACTAGGGAAATAGACATTGGGATCATCAAGAAAACTGCAACCTAATACAAGGTGTGCTGTCAAGGCCTATTTTCCACTCATGGTAGTCCAGAAGTTAGACAAGATAAACTAAGATGTACTAAGGAGGGCAAAAATCAACCATGCCTTAACTTAAACACTATGTATGATGGTTAAATTAAATATCTTGTAAAGAATATTCTTTTTACTTTTAATTTTTTTAGTGTCAAGATGATGTACAGAGGGGTTGCAGTTACATAAATAAGGTAATAAGAAATCTTGTCTAACTTGTTACCCATTCCATCATTTTTCTTCTACTTTTCCTTCCCCAGCCCCCTCAAGTTAAACAGATCATTTCCAACATGTTGTCCTGTGTATATCGCTATTGCATTGGTTCCCCCGTGTCCTCAGAAGAATGTTCTTGTTTAAGATTAATTCTCTGGGTACAGAGAATTTTTTTTATAAACGAAATTTATTCAAGCAACTCGGGAAAAGGAAACCAAAGTTAGACACTAATAGCTCCTTTAAACTCGAAAAGCAGGACTATATAAAGTTGTAAAGTAGTCTTAGGTTTCACAAAGTCTGGGGGCATTATTATATCTCTGCAATAGTAAGGAATAAGATTTCATATTAAGGAGGTGTCACGTGACCTGTAACAGTAATGATATATATGATTTTCAGGAATAGGTGTGCGTACTCTGTTTATATTGTCATTTTTAAACAGTGGATTTTCATATATGCACACAATACACCCATAAGATGCTAAATTAGAAGAAAATCATTTGGCTAGTTTGCAAAATAATTTTCTTCAAAAGCACTGTATTCTGAGCTACTCCTTCCTGGATTTCCAATACCAATTGTTCCTCCAACCAGATGGATATAATGGGGTTGAATTGTTCCACAATGTGTATATTTGCAAGGTAGGTTTCGAGTTGTGATAATGTGTAGACAGTATTCTCTAGGATTTGATTCTAACATTTTACAATATTTACCTCTCCTTACCACTCTAGCATACAAAGCCACACTTCGGTTGTTCCTGTTTCATGGACCTTTTTTGCTTTTCTCATCTTTGTGGCCTTTGTTTGCTCAGTTCCAGCTGTATAAATAGCTTTCCCTTCTGTTAAAAGCTTGACTTGTAAGGAATAAAATGCTCCTTTGTCTCTATAATGCAGTATCTATTTTGTCTAGCACTGTGGTGTGTGTGTGTGTGTGTGTGTGTGTGTGTTTTGTTTCATCATGGTTATCTGTAGTCTGCCTCTCCAGTGGAAAGAAAAATCTTTGAACCCTACCACTCAAGGCATAGCACTGTAGATAGAACATGTCCTTTACAAAATCTTACTTAATTGGCAAATGTGGCTTTATGCTCCTTAAATTTAATATTTTATGGCTTCAAGGCACTGAGCCTGACATCCAGATGTAGAATGTGGTAGTTTACAAACTCAGCAGTGAACAGTCCCTGAATCCCCACTGCTCTGGCAGGATCTGCTCAGTGCCAGATATGGACACTGCCCATCCTGTCAGGTGGAAGTCGACCTTTTGAACTTTACCTGGCTTTGCTGAGGAACTGGTAGAACTTGTGGGCCTCAGTAAGGCTCTCCTTACGATCCTCTGTAAGTCCTTGTAAATAATTCCAAGCCTGGTGTAGCTGTGCTCGCTGCCTCTGCAGGTCCTTTGTGGCATCAGGGTGGGATTCGCAGAGTCTATCTGCTGTCTCTCCTAACATAGTGACCTGGGGGAGATAAAGCAGGTCTGGTAATCACCTGAACCTTAATGGAAGGAGAGTCCTGAGTCTTAGCAGTCGTCTCCTGAACTAGATATCTATTCACACACACATAAAATAGTATCAACCTTTTACCTCAGAGGATAATGTTTTTGAGGCAGTCAAAATGGACCTTAGTCTTCATTTTAAAAGGAGAAGTCAAGCCAGGTGCTGATGACACACATCTGTCATCTTAGCTACTCAGGAGCCTGAGATCTGAGGATTACAGTTCAAGGCCAGCCAGGGCAGACAATCAAAGAGACTCCTATCTCTGATTAATCAGCAAAAAGCCAGCAGTAGAGGTGTGACTCAAGAGGTGGAGTGCCAAGCTTGAGTGGACAGTGTGTAAGCCTTGAGTTTAAGTCCCAAATCTGGCACAAAAATAAGTAAATAAATAAGTAAATACATAAGAAGTCCTGGGGGAATAGTGGTTAAGTGACAATGCCAGCTAGGGAACCCAAACATTCTGATTCTTCATATAAAACCCACCTTTGTCTCTGAGTCAAATCACCAACCTGTATGCTAGCTACAATGTGTCTAGCAAGCTCCAGGCTTTGCTTTTGGGTTCTGATGAAACATATCCACTTCCTACCCGAGGAAACTGCATAATTATTGGATATGGGCCTGACCATCCTGCATATGCTATTTTTCCTTTAGTCACTAGTCTCTGTTTGCCACGAGTTCTGATCACAACACCTATTAAAGTGGAAAAGAGATATAGAGTGCTCACTTGGAAAGAGGAAATTCAATGTATGTTTCTCCATGTTTGTATCCACATGAGTATGAACTTTTAGTGGATTTGCTTTAGGACAATGTGCAAGAACAAATGTGGTTCAAGCTAATAAGTAGAGCTGTGGCTCAAGTGGAAGAGTATTAGTCACGAACAAAATGAAGCTCAAGGAAGTGCCTGGGCACTGAGTTCAAGCCCTAGGACCTGGCACTGGAACTGAATCATTCAGTCTGGGGCAGATCAGTGGCAAAGTGCTTGCCCAGTAAGTACAACATTTTGGGTTTGATTCCCAGTACCAAAAAATAAGACAAAGAAATATAGTTAACGAAACAACCCTAACTAAGGCGAATAAGAGCAAAAGAGAACCAGGGAAGGAGACACTGATACAGGCATAAAATGGAGAGGAAGGTGTTAGAAATCTTGGAAGCACTGTAGCACTGTCTTACCTTTTCCCCCAGAGGAGTGAGGTCTCTCTCAAAGCCCTCGTGCTGTCGCTGAAGGGCTTGGACACTGAGCAGGTCTGAGCCAGGGTCAGCAGCATTGAGGGCTTGGCATTTCTTCTCAATCTGTTCCTTTGTGTCATCTGCTTCTCTGGTGAAGAATTTAGGAATAATGTGTGCCAGAGGCAGACTAGCCGTGTTCACCAGAAAGTCACCACTAGAACCAGCACCATCACCATCACCACCACCACTAATGTCATCCTTTAGATGGGCTGGGCTTTAGGCTCTTAAACCTTCACAACTCCTAGTGGCGTAGGTACCATGGCCATTTCCAATATGTCTAACCAGAAAACTAGGACTCAATGAAAATAAAGGTGTTATCATTGCCAAGTGGTAGGTCCTAAATTTGAACTAGGTTGTCTAGCTGAAGAGCTAAATTGTTGTAATATGTGTGTGTGTGTGTGTGTGTGTGTGTGTGTGTATACATCATAAGCTAGTTTGAACAGTGAAGCCCATCCAAGTTTCTGTTCTCTCTTCCTTTCATCCTTAAAAATACATTTATACATATGAAAGTGTTTTGTTTGTGTACATGTTTTTAGATGTGTTTCCTAGGTAAGTACGAGTTTGAGAATCACACTTGAAAAAGTGTTGAAGGAATAGTCAAAGTCAATGAGATAGCTCTTGTCCCTCACTGCTTACTTCAGGTTCAGGAATATAATGACTTAGACCTGTTGTTTCTACTTCAAGTTTGATTTGCTGCCTTGGAAGCATACATAAACTACTAATGATGTGCCAGGGTCCAACCTGGACATTAGAAAAGTGAAGTTTGTTGTCTTGGGCTATCCAGTCATCAAGTGAGGGATCTATTGCAGAAGAGCTTAATCTCCAATTAGCAAACTGTCTTCATCTCAGCAAGAAGGGTGCTACTGGTGGCTACCCCAGCAACCAGGTCCATGGCTTCGGCGTGTGGGTTCTGAGTAGCAACGTTTTTTGGAGTTAAAATTCTTACCTATGAAACATCTGGACAGCATGGGCACTGCTTAGCATCTGCTGCTGTTCATCTGCTAGCCTCTGCAAAGAATCCCAGCGGGTATTCAACTCCTAAAAGAAGCAGACACATAGGACTTTAGCCAGAGAGCTTGCTAGCTCAAGTGAGCCAATGGCACCTATGGTCTGTTGGGATTTAAATGATTATTTTCATGTTATCTCCTTCACAAGTTGCATAGTTCTACTTTTTCCTTGAATATCTTAAGCTTGGTTCACTTTCATGGCAATGCAGAGATAAAGGGATTTCTGAATGTTGATGATGCAGGTGTAACTATCATGCTTGTAGCCAGGATCACTGCTTACTGTTACAAAAGGTAGATGGGAACTTCTGAAAAAAAAATAAGTGCAAGTATTGTGTTAGTCCTTCCATGCTGGCTTTTTTCTCTATGGCAAACAATACCTTTCTGTATTCTGAATTGAGTAGAGTTAATGGTCTCTTCAAGTATTGTTTTCCACAGGGGATAGATACATTATTTACATGAAGATTCATTCTTGCTTTTATTCAAGGAAAATTGCCACCGAAAGCAGAGGGGAACTTATGCTTCCTGGCTTATAACAAACCAGAAAAAATTTGCCTTCTGGTAACATTCATTTGGTCTTTTGTGGAGTCATAGCTCCAGACATAGATCGGGTGAGTTATTCCCTTTCTTCAATCTCTACAGATAAGGAGGGAATTCTTAAATTCTCTTATGTTTCTCTAAGCTCATCTCTTCCAGTGAACTTTGCTGATTATCTTCTTTCCCACTACCCTAGTTCCTTTATCCATACTATCTTTGCATTCATATATTTGAATACTTGATTTAGTGTGTGGAAGTGAAAGGAGATGGGTATGTGTTGTAATTTAATGATTTCAGGTCAGTTTAAGTACATGTATTCTGCATTTTCAATTCAAGATAATTTCGGTGGTAGGTCAAAAGGTAAGAACTTTATGTTCAATATGATGAAAATTAAAAGGAAATGTAGAAATGATCCTGTTCTACTTTGGGAATGCAAAGACAGACCCACAGACAGCCAAGAGCAGAGGTAGGATTTAAACCCAACTCTCCTCCAGATCAGTTTGATATTCTTTAAACTTCATAATAATTTCTCTTTAAACTAAGTCTGCATTTGAAGTCCCAATTCTTTGATCCTTCTCTCTCCAAAATGCTGTGCAGGCACACAGAGAACAAGCTGAACCTGCTTTAATGATGTTCATTAGAAAATAAAGGTGGCTGGACTGTATGGACTGCTGTGCTTAGTGTGTCCTCTAGCCAGTTTCATAATTTTTGGAACTGTGACTTTGTGCATGTCACAACTGATCCGTGGAGTATGAAGCCAAATACATTGAAGGAAGATGAGGATTCCTAAGAGGAAGAGTGAAAGGAGCCTTCGTTACCTGCCGGATATGAGCTCCTTCTGGTGTTAGAAGTTTTTCATAGAGCAGATCATCAGCTACTTTGTTGATATCCCTTAATCGAGGCTCATTGGTCTTCAAATCCTGAAGGACAAAATGTGCCCATTTGCAATGTGAATCCTTCTCAGAAGTCTTCCACACACACTAAGCCATTCCAATTGCTATTTGCTAAGCACAATTGAAACCTATTGCCAAAACTCACTTGCAAGCACACAGCTACTCTCCTCCCATCTGTCACTGAAAGAGTTCCCAAAGCCCTGATATCCGGGAGCCAAACTCAAAACTTAGCAAGAGAACTACTATTTATATGGAGTGTGAGGCCTATCCATTTTTTAAAGTCATCCCTGGATTAATTCATACTACCATAGCGAACCATACCTGACCTACATGGTATTGTTTTCTATTGCTCCAAATTCCTCTACTTTTACAGAATTTCATTGGCTAATTTATTTCCCTGTATTAAAGGATGTTTAAGGAGCAGCTCTAGAATGCTTTCCCTCTCTGTATATATATCTGTACATATGTATATATATATGTATTATACACATGCACACATACATTTGTATATAATGTACATATATATGTATATGTACATAAATATATGGTGTATGTTCCACATGGAGAATATCATAAGCAAAGGAAAAGAAGGAAGTTTGTACTCAGTACAAGTAAAGATGGTGAATAAATACAAGTGAAGCAGTGATGAAGGGGTTTTCAGGGTTAGGTACTTAGAAATTGTCACTACTCTTCCCACTCCAGCTTCCATCCCACAATTCAATTCTATACAGATTTCCACTCCAGCCCACTTTGAGCCCAGGCTTTAGAAATACAGTGTGTTGTAGGTCAAGCATTGAAGAATTCTTGGAGACCAGCACTCCCAAGGAGATTTTAGAGTGTCAAAGAGTGGAAAGTTAGGATAACCACTTTTCTCTGAGCTTCCTTTTCTGTTGGGAACAACTACAACTACCCAGCAGAATTGATATTCATTACTGAGTGGAGTTCTCAGTAGCTTTGGGGAAGACACTTAACCAGTACAACATAAATTACAGCCTTACAGGAGGAGACATGGAAACTGTGACAACCTCCAGAAAGGAGTCTGGAGAAGATTCTTTTTTCTTACCCTCTGGAACTCATCAAACTTTTTCTGCAGTTCCCAAACATCATCAAGTTCCACTCTGGTGTTTTCATCCTTTTTCTCCTGGATCCAGTCCAGCATGTCTCCTGCCTCATAGGCCAGCAAAAATTCATTGTAACGTTGTAATAGACGACGTCTGCGATCTTCTGCCCGATCCAGGAGGGAGTGGTACCTGGGTGAACAAGTTAGAAAAATAGAATAGAATACAAAATGGAGGAGAAAAACACAGAAGAGTAGAGTGGGGTAAAAGAAGTAGAGGTTGAAAAGGACAGAAGGGAAAAGAAGAAAAATATCAAGATCACTAATAAAAGTGGGGAATAAAGTTGGCAGAAAAAATATTAAGAGCAGAGACACAGGATTAGTTTTAAATCAAAAAAAGTGAAGGAAGGGGTGAGTTGGGTGGGTGAGACGGTTGAAAGGGTGACATTGATCAAGATTCACGGTATTCATAAACTGTTTTGTCAAATCCTTTGTATAACCCCTTAACGATAATAAAATATTTTTTTAAAAAAACTACGAAGATGTTGATGACTCCAGTATGACTGGAAGCATCCTTTATCAATTCAATAATTTTTGATTATCAACTGAAAACCGGATATGAAATAAACAGTATTTATAATGGATCTCAGGAAATGCTTTTGTAATCGTGAAGGAATGCTGACCAGGGAGGCAGAAGATGGTTTTATTAAGGGCATGACTGCAAGCAAAGACCTAATATGGTTCTGGGCTTTCTTTTTTAAAAAAAAATTACTACAAAAACGTTTTTGAAGCATCCTAAGTCTGCTCAGCCCTAAAGACCTGTAAACGTTCATTAACTGAGAGACACAGAACCATGTGAAGCACCTTCAGTCAACAGGAAGTATTTGGCCAAACACTGCCCAGGGCTCAAGCCTCCAGAACTTACAGGTCCTCGATCTGCTCCTGGCGCTGGGCAATATTGCCTGGCTCTTCTAGTCGCCGCTGTGGGAGACTGCGGAGCTCATCATGGGCCAGTTTCCTGACATAGACAGCTGGGACAAAACCCTGATGATCATCAGCTTCAACTTTCCACCAGTCCTGAAAAAAAACCCAGCAAATTCTCACTCCTTCCTTGATTTCTGAAAAACTCACAAGGAATACAGGCTTCAACTCGCACAAGGAAGTCTCTACACATAGGTTGGAGGCTGAGAGTCGTTACTCTCACCCTCACGAACAGGTGGCCGATAATTTCCACCATCACAAAAAACAGCCAGTGAGGAGTTGCAAGAATTGTTAAAGTAAGTCTAAGTCCCTGAAATCAAGCCATCTGGTGATTGATGTCAGACACTCTCTCTCTCTCTCTCTCTCTCTCTCTGTTATTGGGTTTGAACTCAGGTCCTAGCAACTGTCTCTTAGCTTTTGTGCTCAAGGTTAGCATTCTGACATTTTGAGCCACAGCTCTAGTTCTGGTTTTTAGGTGTTGATTGGAGAAAAGAGACTCACAGACATTCCTGCCCAGTCTGCCTTTGAAATATGATCCTCAGATCTCAGTCTTCTGAGTAGCTAGGATTACAGGCATGAGCCACCAGTGTCTGGTTAATGTCAGAGTCCAGGTGATAAGGAGCTGTAAATCTAGCTGGCACATTCTTCTGCATGTGACAATACTGCATGCGTATCTCTCCTGTCTGTTCTACTTCCAGAGATACTGAAAACTGTCAGTTGCTCTGAAACTCACTCATCTAAGCTCTTCTCTAAATAAATATAGTTTTTTTTGACTGCTGCTTTACTAACCATTCTGGAGTTAATGTTGTCAGAGACTCATTGTCATGAAATGCAGAGGCCTAGGTAAGGAAAACTGGCACTGAGTTTGTTTGATAATGAAATATCTTGCTTCTTGGAAACATTCATTACTCAGAATAACAATAGCCCAACTCTCTTCTTTTCTCATCAAGAACTTTTGGAAATTAATTAAGCATTAGAAGATAAAATTTCTTGACTTCTTTATTTTTTTGTCAGTCGTGGGCCTTGAACTCTGGGCCTGGGCGCTGTCCCTCAGCTCTTCAGCTCAAGGCTAGTGCTCTACCACTTGAGCCACAGTGCCACTTCCGTTTTTCTGCATGGTTTATTGGAGATAAGAGTCTCATGGACTTTCTTATCTAGGATGGCTTTGAACCACAATCTCATCCTCCTGAGTAGCTAGGATTACAGGCATGAGCCACTGACGCCTGGCTAATTTCTTGACTTCTTACAAAAGAAGTATATTAAAAAATTCCAAGCACTATTCTATCACTATTTTTTATAGGCACAAAGCATAAAAAACTGAAGCCAATAAAACATTATTTTTGCCTATCAATATTGCCAATCTGGCTTCAAATGTCTCAGACTTCTAAATAGCTGGGACTATAGATGTGAGCCACTGCACCCTTCACAAAAAAAAACCAAACAAACTTGTCTTTCATCTGATTCTTCCTAACCCCAAAGTTTGCTGCTCTGTCCCTAGGGATACTTGTACTGAAGCAGAACACGCAAACAGATAGAAGACAGGGACAGCTGAATCCTGTGAACCTATCAGAGAACCGGAACTCATACTTTGTATTACATCTTATATTACTTAGCTTCTTTGATTCTGTATTTCCTTAGTGGTAAAATTAGTTTTGGAAAAAGATACTACTTAAAGAAGTGTGGCAGATAAAGGGTTAGAGTAATGAAACCATGGACACCTGACAGGGTCAGGAGAGATGGGTGTGGAGAAGCCACTTTGTCTATGGAAATGAGGATGAAGGAAAAGTCACCTTGTTGATGGAGCTGAGCAGAGTTAAGATGTCATTCTTCTTCATGGTGACTTCCCGGCGGCTGCGGGCCTGGAAGTCATACAAAGCCACAACCCTCACTTCTTCCGCAGCATCCTCCACTGGTACAGCCTGCTGTTGCTGTGGGTCGGGGTAGAATATGTTTATTACAACAAACTATGTCCCTCTGGTGCCGACCAGTGGTGGACATTCCCTGAGGTCTCTCAGCAGAGAGCAATGTCTGGCTAACATGTCTTCTATGGCCACCAGAGGTGAAAACAGATGACCCGTCAGAGTTACCACTCTACTGTACCATGAATCAGAGGGCTGGCTTGCTGGGTAATATGAACATAAGTGAACATAAGGATACAGCTTGCCAGAAACAGTAAATGCTGGAAGATACCATTCTTAAACTGGGTGGAGTGATATGCTTCTCTAAGAAGGCCTAAAAAGATTATATACATCAACATTCCAGAAAGCTGATTAACACACCGAAAGACCCATAATTTGTCATCATTAGCTCCTTCTTCCAGGCCTCTACTGATCATTTTTCATACCTGCTTGCACCTTTGTTATTATTTATTTTTTTACTGACTACTAATTGTACAAAGGTGTTTCATTGTGATATTTTACACATGCATCTGATAAGGGAATAGTAAATGGAGTATGCAAGAAGTTCAAAACGCTAACTCCAAAAGGATTAACAACCCAGTTAATGAACAGGCAAAGGAACGGAATGGGTAATTCTTGAAAGAAGACATAGAAATGACCAATATGTATAATGAAGAAATGTTCAATATCCCTGGCCATAAGAGAAATGCAAATCATTATGACAGTAAGACCGCGAGAATGACATTATAAAGACTGCTTGATCTTTTATTCCTCCTGTATTTAGATTTTCTTTTTTCATCTTTAAGGTATTTCAATTCCACATAGTTTGTAAATACAATGCACCTTGATCTGTGTCACTCTTTCTTCCCGTGGAGCCCCTCCCTTCCCCAATCTATCCCAACTTAAGTTTTTCTGACAAAGATTTGTGGATCTTCTGTTTTAGAGATGGGTGACTCATAGAACAAGAAAGAGCACACAATTTAAAAAAAATGACAGCATAAATGTAGTATTAAAAGTTTCTTTTGGGGAAGAAAGTTGTTCAAGGTGGAGTTTTCTGCATTTTTTGGTAAATATTGTATTTCTGCCATGATAAGCAAAATATAACTCTTCTTCCTAAGCAATGACCCACTTGATCTTCAGATTAGATCTGATGGGTCTTGCCTTGCAGTTCCCCTGGCTCAATGTCTCTCACATAGCACATTTCCCCTTGACATGTATTATGTAAGTCTATCCGCTAGTGACTAAGCATTCACTATGGACAGTCTGGCATAGGCCCAGCAAGGGCTCTGTGAATGTATGTTGACTTTTCATGCTGAGTCTGTGTGTGCAAAATCCCACGAAGTCTTTCACTAAAAAAAAAATTCTTGAATGGAAGATGAATGTGTTTTTCTTCTTCTTGTCTTACACATAGGAAGCTCTGTGACATCATCTACTTGATCACAAATTCATCACTTCCCACAATTTCATTTCACCTTGTGCCCTAGCTATTCTCATATTCTCAGTTGATTGCATTTCTCATTCCCAAACATACTTGATTGATTTGCACAGTTCATCTATTCTCATGGCTTATCAACTAGAACAGCCCCTTTCTTCTTCTCTCTGCACAAAAAATATTCATTTAAAACAATAATGCACATAAAATGGTTCATCTCAGTTAAGAACTTTTCTGTCTTCTGGTAATCTTATTTCAAGAGGACAGAATATTCCTTCCTTTTGGGACTCCTTTTTGTGTTTATACATATATAATGTAACATTTATTCCTACTCCCCTGACAAAGTGCAATTTTCTTGTTAGTAAGAATTATTCTTATGCATGCATGAATATGGCAGACATTTACTAAATGTCATATTTAAATGAAAGTTAAGTATAAAACGAACAGAATTCACAAGGAAGATAAGAATCGTAGCTACAAATAAAGAAGAGAGGAAAGAAAAAAGAAAAGGGGAAAGCCAAAATAGATAATGATGTACATGTGATGATATTTATTGAAAACTTATTTGAACTAAATATTTATGGATATTTTAGTAATATAGAAGATAGAACTTAGTGTTTCCTGTGCAATTGCTTCAGTGGTTGTAAATTTTTTTTTTAAAAAAAGAAATCTGTGACAAAGAGAATTCTTTTGCCACTGAATGAGGAATGTGATTTCTGTCATCACAGAGTTCTTACCTGGCAGGCTTCAGCCTGGTCCAGCAGGGCTTGCATACTGTTTCCAAACGCATTGAGATCCACTAAGAAGGCCTCGTGTTTCTTAAGAAGAGCCTGGATTTATTGATGAAAGAATCATCAGAGAAAATCTAAGAGGCACACTAACTGTACCAGGAGAGGTTGCCACTACTCATTATTTTGGCTTATGGTGATTGTCTTACATGCTGTGAAGATTTGTTTTATGTTTATTACAAAGCTCGTCGAATCCTAAATTTGCAAAAGTCAAGCATACTGGATTAACAAGTGAAGAACAACTTCAATATATTTCCTGAAATAAAAATGAACTAAAATTGGCACCCATAGGTTCATCAACTTATCATAGCTGAAAGATGGTACTGCTTGCCCTCTCTCCTAACGATGAAACACTTTATCACGTCACTTTGAACAATTTTAAATGTACATGTCAATTATGCTTAGTGCCTAAGGTTTGTGAAATAGATGTGCTTTCCACAGGACAATGAAAAAAACAGGCTTGCAGGGTCATTATCATCACTGAGGATTTTCTGGCTGCAACATACTTGTCTAATTTTATTTCAATATAGAAATCAAGAGCTACTCAAAGAAGCTACTCAGGAGGCTGAGATCCAAGAATCATGGTTGGGAGCTAGCAGAGAAGACAAATACTTGGACTCTTATCTCCAAATAACCAGCAAAAAGCCAGAATGAGAGGAGGCATGGTTCAAGTAGGAGAGCACCAGCCATGAGCAAAAAAAAAATGTCCAATGAGAGCATGAGGCTCTCACTTGTACTGAAATTAAGATATGTCTATCTTAAGACCGTGATTGGCTTATGAAAGCCCAAGATTGAATTTAGGTATTTTCTACAGAATCTGTGGATTTATATGGGATTAGAAAAATTTGGCACCTCTTTTGGGACCTCTTGCTAACTGTGATGGAATTCCAGGAGAAGAAGGCCAGAGGTAATTGTCTGTGGAAACTCCATACTGTCCCAACCTGAAGCTGTCTTATAACCTCAACAAACCTAAATTCATAATTGGGTGGCATTTTAAGTATTCACTAGACAATGTTCCTCCCACCCTTCACCTTACCCCAGCTGCTTCTTCATCAGCCCCATAGTTAGTATTGTCGACAATAGGTTCCTTCTCTTTAATCCACGCTTCTGCTTCATGCAGGTCAGCCAGGTACTGTTGGAACTGGACATTGGCTTGAAGATCGTTGTGCCGCCTAGTAGCTCGAGTGCAGAGAGACTCCATATTCTTGTTCAAACCCTCAACCCGAGAGGCTATATCTTCTGCAGCAAAGTGTTCTGTGGATAGGTACAGTCCCAGTGAACATTAATGCCTGCCATACTCTAGTCCTTTGAGAACCTGGACTAGAGAAACAGAGGCACAAGAAAGGTGACACATTTGGTCGATGTGGCACTTTTCTTATATTCCCTGGGAACATCTGAGGATGCTGAGATTAAGTAGAAAGGGCAATTAAATAGGGAATTAAAGTTTATGTGTGGTGGTAAATGGGTCTATACCTGGAAACAGAATATCCTTGTGTTATTTATACTCAGAATTAGCAAAAGCATATCTCAAAAATATTGAACTAACCCAAGTCCTATACCCATCTGTCCAAAGGGAATTTCTGCATGAAGTGGAAAAAAATGAGCCAGTTATAGTTGAGTCTCCAGAAGCTCCAAGATCATACAACTTTCTTCCCAGAGGTCTAGAGCAGTAATTCTGGCCAGCTCAGTCTACAGCACACATACCTTCCTCTATCATTTTGTTTCCTCTCTCTGTTATCGCTTGGATGCGTGGCTCATGGCTAGAAATATCTGCCAGGATGACTTCATGCCTGTTCAGGAGATTTTTAGCTGCAACCAAGTCTTTACCTACAGAGAGAAAGAATGTCAAGGATGTGAATTAGCCTAGTGTACTAGGAATAGCTTATAAAATCTGCTTCATGAACTAGACATGGTGACGCAAGCCTGCAATCTCACCATTCTATATCCATCTCCACTTAGGAGCTCCCAGATTCAGGCAAAAGAATCATGAGTTTAAGGCCAACATGTGTAGCAAGCCAAGTTTTAGGCAAGCATGGACTGCACAGCAACACTCCATCTCACAGAGAAAATGTACCTCATTAACTTCACACAATAAAGTATGAACACTGAATCTTGTCCATCTTAGACTATCTGCTTCACCTTCCTTAACCATGCTTTACCTCTCTTCTGTCCAAACTTTCTTTCTCTGTACTTCCCATTCAAAAAACTCCCCCCAGAAACTCTATGCTTTCAAAAAAGCCTCAGACTTTTCTCCTCTAGGAAGTTTTCCCATTGTCTAGACTCTTGTAGACACACCCAAAACATTAGCACAATGTTGTACAATACTTATATCTGTTTTTACCTGAGCTTTAATTAATTATCCTGGTATTCATTTATGTGATCTAATAGCTTTCAAAGAATAAGACAGTCTTATGGCTAATTAACACTCTCATCTTTGTGACAGCTCTTATAGTTACAAAAAGCAGTCATCAATAACTCAACAAAAGTACTTGCTACCTCAAATATTAACTATGACTTCTCAGTTGAGAACCTACACAGTAGCTTAAGGTTTAAAACATGCAGTAAAAAGTTGAAGACTAGGGGCTGGGAAGTTGGCTCAGTGGTAGAGAGCTTGCCTTGTATGCATGAGGCTTTGGGTTCAATTCCTCAGCACCACATAAGCATAAAGAAAAAAGCTGGAAGTGATGCTGTGGCTCAAGCGGTGGAGCGCTAGCTTTGAGCTGAAGAGCTGAGGGACAGCACCCAGGCCCAGAGTTCAGGCCCCACGACCGGACCCAAAAAAAAAAAAGTTGAAGACTAGATCTTCTCAAGTTTTCATGTGTCACTGAGAAGGAAGAGCTGAGAGCAATTTTCTATCCTTCCATCACTGTACCCCAGGTCTCTCAAATGATCTGCAGATGCTCGTTCTTTCCTTCCATATTGCTCATTCTTCTCAGGCTCTACTGACCAAGGTAGGTAGAAGCTGCAGAGGGCTCAGTCTCTTGGATCCAGGCCTCTTCATCTTCTGTGTCTCTGCAAATCTGCTGCAGACGGAGGAGGTCAATGAGCTTCTTTTTCCTGGTGGCCAGTGGCTCTTTCAGAGCTTCAAATCGAGACACCAAGGACTGTTGCCTTGCACGAATATCCCCAGAATCGGGATGTCCTATTTCTTCAAAATGTGCGGCCATGTCTGTGAGGGTCTCCACCTGATCCTGAGGAAGAAATAAAACATGTGTCAGAAAATCCTGTAATTTAATAGGGAGGAGAGAGCAATGGAAGAATCAGCTCCTGGATGTATAGTGTTAAGAGCTCTAAACCAGCGACAGACTGGGAGGGGTCATTATGTTGACAGCTCTTTTACTGAAAAGTAATTTTCAAAATACGTTCAGAAAGGACAAAGAAGCCCCAAGAAAATCAGACAAATCAGAGCTATAGTCCTTTCATGGTGGGTATTGATAAACTGGGGACCCCAGGGGAAAAACTAGGAGCCTTTTGTACTTGTGCACCTCTTCAATTCTCTCCCTCTCCCTTGGAAATGAGCTAGGTTTACAAATGAAAAGGAAATCTTCTGGAAGTTAAGTTCCTAGGAAATAAAATGTGGTGTTGTGGAAACAAATGTTAGAATCCTGGAACAAAAGACACAATGGCTATCCTTGGCTACACATAGGTATTCTCATTTGGAAAACGATATAAAAACAGGATTGTGAGAGATCTTCCCAGAAATAAAATTCTAGTTGCACATCTCTCTATATATATCAAAGTAGATATGAGATGAATTTTATCTTTATTAGTGAGGTCTGATAGAATTATGGTACATAGCATTTTTATTTGGTTGGTTTGTTTATTGGAAGGAGATGTATAAGAGAAGTTTTTCAAGAAACAGGACAAGGTATTGGTTTTACTGATTCTATGTTGTTTTTCAGTGTTCAGCTACTAGAGTGTTTGATTTTGTCTTTCCTTACTTTTGAACAAAATTGTCAATATATATATATATATATTTCCTTCTCTATAAAAAAATTAAAAGATATACAAAAAATGGAAATTTCTTGATAACTTTTCTCATTTCTTATACTTTAAAAATACTATAATAAAACAGATATCGGATATCCTTGTTAGTGAGACACTTTTCACTTCCACAACCTTGAATGTAGAGCAAGATGCTCCGGGCTGAGGGGATAGGAGACCTGACTTCTATTCTTTGCTAATGGTTGATGGCAATTGGATCTTGGAAGTTTGTTGCCCTGATTGTTTCCTCATGTACATAAGGAAGACTTTGTGATAGAAAAAACTGAAGATAATGTCCAACTTCAACATTCTATATCTAAAATTTATTCTGCAGAAGAACCAATTCCTGGTTACTATCTTCCCTGCCTTTCCAAGAAGGGTTCCACCTACCTGTTTCTTAAGAATTTTAATGGGGCTGGAGAGGTGGCTCAGTGGTAGAGCGCTTGCCTTGCAATGCATGAGGCCCTGGGTTCGATTCCTCAGCACCACATAAGCAAAAAAAAAAAAAAAGCCGGAAGTGACACTGTGGCTCAAGTGGTAGAGCGCTAGCCTTGAGCTGAAGAGCTGAGGGACAGCGCCCAGGCCCAGAGTTCAGGCCCCATAACTGGACCCCCCCCCACCAAAAAAAAGCTGAAGAGCTGAGGGGCAGCACCCACGTCCAGGCCCTGCAACCAGACCCCCCCAAAAAAAGAATTTTAATATGCTGTTTATTCTCTTGGATTTAAATTTATTTTTGAATAAATAACAAACTTCAACAAGAATCTACTCTGCCCTCCTTAAAATTTGATTCCATATCCACCTCCTTTATATAGATTCAAAGCCATATTTCCCTCCCTCTAGCCTTTCATTTAATTTAAAGTGCTACTGAACATTCTTAAAACTATGAAAACAACTGAACTCTTTTTATGCCTTAGGTATATTATTTTGGCTTTCCTATATAAGTCAGAGTAACAAAATAGCAGACATTAAAGATATCTTTTTAAGAGTAGGACCTTTCAAGGAGCAGCAGAGTCATTAAAAAAAAAAAAGACTACTCCTGGAGTAAGAAATTAAGTCAGCTAGAAATGAACTTCTACTAAATACTCTCCAAACTCATAGTAACTATGCTACAAACACGTAACCAGATAAAGTTATTTTAAATAGGAGTCTGGTATATGTATACCAACCCTGATGTTAATTTTGTCTATGGAAATTCATTGTCTTTGTAAAGTCATTATATAGCTATAGATTTTAGTTTTCTTAATTAAAACATGGGTAGAATTGACTTTGAATATTCTACTTTGTATTTAACTTTGAATCATAGAATATCTACATGCTAAAAGACAATTTTATCCCAAACACTTACTTTACAAGTGATAGTATCCAGGCAAAAGAGGTGAAATGACCTTCCATAAACCACATAAGGAGAAAGTGTCAAGGCTGTCTATAAAACCTATGGTTTCTAAATTGAGAGAACAGTATTATATTTAGAAGAGTTTAAAATGCTGTGTTTAAATTTTAATGTTCGGCAGTATTAGGATTTGAACTACTCGAGCCATGTCCCCTTCATATTATTCATGTATGCTAATTTTAAAATAAAATAGCGTCATATCAGAAATGAGGTTCTGAAGAAAGGCACTCAGGAGAATGGCAGAATTGGAGGAGGTACTGGGAAGGGATAGCTGAGTAACTAAAATTTTTGAAATCTTTCCTTTCATTCTTTGCTCTCTCACTTTCTTTAATAGTAATTACTTAATATGGGTACACTCAGAGAACAATTACAAGCTCCTACATTTGCCAGACACTTAACAACAAACCTGACGAGCATCCACGGCTGACTCAAGGAGGCCATGTTTCCTGAGTAAATTCTGAACATCAGCCAGGCCTTTCCCATAATCCTCAGAGGCAACTTGCCATTCAACCTCCTCCAGCCAATGCCTCAGGTCTTCAGCATTGTTTTCAAATTGCAGCTGCTGGTTGGCTTCATACAACTGGGATCCTGGGAAAGACATTAGGTATAAGGTATTAATAATGATCACTGTTCCTCTTGACACTATGATAATTCTCCTTCAACTTAAGGAGATATAGAATAGTTTTATAGTACCAAGAGAAAAAAGCAAGATAACTGTCTTGCTTATCATTATACAAAAGTCATCTTAAAATTTTAGAATTCTGATGGAATTTAGTTTTAAATATTGTAAAGGTAGCAAAATTGGGATAAATAATAGCTATATTCTTAGTGAAATATATCTCTGCTCTGACAGATTTTTTAACTACCTTAGATACTTTCATGGGTCACTTGTTATACTCTATTGAGACTTTACAAAGAGATCCAAACTGAAATGACACATTTTTCAAAGAGAAAATGACACATTTTTCAAAGAGAAACATCAAATCTGGAGTTGGTTCAGTGTGAAGTTTTGGTTTCTTTGAACTTGGCACCATCTCTCTTACTGCCTGTTCTTCTATCATAGTCCATTTCCCACAATGTTTTCTTTCAGATAGTTGATTAGTCATATTATGAGTGGGAAAATTCTTGATTCTATGATATTGAAGCAACATACTGCAATTATTTTTGTAAGGCAATTACTATGTCTCTTGATTGCAGGAAGTAGCCATGACATCCTATGCTACTATGATTTTTCTCCTCAGTAAGTAGGGCAGAGTCATGTCTATAGATGACATTCAGAAGAAATACTGAAGGTATTGCCTGTAAAGAAGTGGAAAGACTTGGAAAAAATTAAGTTAAGCAAAGTAAGTCAGGGCTGGAAAGAAAGGATACATGTTTTCCCTAGTATGTAGAAGCTAGATTTAGCTTACAAACTCCTATGTAAATACATTGGGTGATTTGCAAGTATATACAAATATATTAATGTAAATAGGCAGATTTAAGGACAATCGCAAATAGTGTAATTCCTTGGAAAGCCAAAATCAGACTTCGGCAAACTAAAATACTCAAAAGTGGGTACTCAAAAAGGGTTAAGAAGCAGATACTCAAAAGGGGTTAATTAAGAGGCATGAGGGACATTGGGGTTAGAGGAGGGATGGGTGAAAATGTTGAGAGAGATGACACCAATCAAGATATACTTTATTATTATATGTTTGTGATTCTTTTCTCATTTCTTTTTCTTTCATTTTTTTCTTTTGTTTATTCCCTTCTGTTACTTTTTTAAAAATTTCTGTACCCTTTGTCTTGTATATAAGTCTATCTGATTTGGGGAGGGGAAGGGGAAGCACAGAAATGGTGGGACAAGGGGTGAACCAATTGAGCAGTGAAACTCACTATGTTGGAAATGAATTATACAACTTTGGGGGGAGGGAACTTGGGAGGAGAAAAACTGGGAGAGAATGTGAGAAGGGGTGACATTGTTCAAAAGGAAATGTACTCATTACTTGACTCTTGTAATCCCACTCTATATCACCTTTACAATAAAATTAAAAGAAAAAAAAGATATATTGTATTCAAAGCAATTGCTTTGTTAGATGGCAACTCCTTTGAATAACTACTTAAAGTAATAACAATATGAAGCAATAATGAAGGTACTAACTCATTATTTGTGATAAAAAATATTGACAAATGATTAACTTTCCAAAGTAAGAGGCAAGGTAAAATATGAGTAAAACCATTCAAACATACATGTGGGGAGTTTTTAAAAAACTTATGTCAGAGAATAAATATTTTAAATCAGTTTAAAAAAAAGGAACAGTACAGTAAAAATAAGATATTGTAGCATCACATGCCAATCCTCTTTTCCTGTAAATCTAATAAGGTCATTTTATGTACATTTTATCAGCACATATTAATTGTACAGTGTGAGACATTTTATTGTGAATTTTCACATATGAATGTAATGAACTCTGATCACATTCACCCCACTAATACAGTTTCTTATCTTCTTCCCTCCACTCTGTTATTTTTATCTTTCTTGCAGTTTTAGATGACTGAAATTATAATTTTTCATAAAATATACTTTGCTTAATGTCAATTTTACATATCTAAATTATAAATTATTCACATGTCACCATATTCTGTCTAGATTATAGAAACAACATGTGCAAAACCAAATTTAAGTGCATTAGGTTTTCATACAAGTCAATAGATGATGCAGTAACATTTATTCAAGAACAGTAAAAAAGGAAAAAAATTGAAGGAAACAAAGGAAATCTTACCTAAAAATCTACATACATGAACAAAAGATCAGTTTTTGTTAGTATAAATGGTTCTGTCCTTTAGAATCCAAAATACTGACCAACAAAAAGAAGAGATGGGAAAGCAAGTGGGAAGCTTTCCTTTTTTTTTTTTTTTTAATGGTCTCCAGGTGAGTTCATGATAACAACAATGGAAGTGGTAGGTTGCAGAGTTTAGGAACAATTAGCATTCCACCTAAACCTCTGTTTCTGACCTTTCTGAGCGGTGGCTTCCAGCAGCTCCTTCCAGAGGCTGGCAACCTCTCTCACACGAGCGGCCACAGCATCGGAAGCATAGTGATCACTCTCAATCATCTCCTGGCCAGTTTTCTCAAGGTTGTTGAGCATGATCTCATTAGCTGCCAGTTCCTCTTCAAAGTCTTGCTGCTTTTGAACACGACTCTTCAAGTTCTGTACGTCCTGATAAAAGATGGAAAAGTACATCACTACTCTAAGAATGAAGGGCAGAAAAATTTGAGGACAAGAAACTACCTTCACATGAACCTAACTAAACTGAGAAGTGATTACAATTACCATTCATTCACTTGCACTATTATACATGACAGAATGGTTCATCCAGCACTTATTTCTACTGGGCCTGGATAGCTTGAATGTGACCCACATGCAAGCACTAACAATCAGTCAGAGCTGTCATAATAGATCCAAATTATTTTTCATTCTTCTCATAGTATATAAACCATCCTCCATTTGCCCCATATAGAGAAGGTCTGTTTATTGTGTGTGGACTGAAATCATAACTCTTCTATAGAGTTCAAACTCATGCTACACAGAGTTAAAAGTACAAGTAAGACATTATAGTTCTAATAAAGAGACAAGAGAATGTATTTACTCACTGGAGAGGTAAATACTTTCAGTAGATATGAACCTAAAAAGCGAGAGAGCAATTCTACCCTTGAGTGTAAATGTGAAGGTATATAAATAGCAAACATATATAATAGTTTATATTATATAGTATTTTTGGAACAACCTTAAGGACTAGAAGTTGAAGGCTTAGAGATAGTTTGGAGTTAAACTAAAAAAGTAGACAGCAAGAATCTAAACTTAGGTTTGCCTTCTCCAAGGTTCATGCTCCTAACCTATATGGCAAACCCCATTCTAATTAACTGAATACATTTGGATGACTTCAAATTCAGGGCCTACTTTCCTCAAATATAACATTTAGAATTTCCCCTTTCCAGCAAAACTAAATTTAGCCTGTATTGTGCCAAACTCTTAGATTGCTTTTAATATTATAGATATAGTGAGATGAGGAATGCTTTCCTACTGTAAGACTGGTGACATATGTCTATAATCACAGCTACTTGGGAACCTGAAAAACAAAGATTGTGAATTAAGATCAACTTGGGCAAGAGAATAAAGCCAGGAGCTGGTGTGGCTCACACCTGTAATCCTGGCTACTCAGAAGGATGATATCTGAGGACCATGGTTCAAAGCCAGCAGGAAAAGTCTGTGAGACTTATCTCCAAATAACCACCAGAAAACTGGAAGTGATGCTGTGGCTCAAGTGGTAGAGCACTAGTCTTGAGCTGAAGAGCTGAGGGATAGTGCCCAGGCCCAGAGTTCAAGCCCATGACCACCACCACCACCAACAAAATAAAATAAAAGAAATAAGGATACAGACAAGGATGAAAACAGTGATAAAGGGGGAAAGGCAGACACATATGGAGCATTCTTTTCCTTACCCTGTTTTGTTAAGGACCATTATAACTATATGTACCGGAGGAAAGAGGAGAGTGATGACTGGGTATAAGAATAGCATAATCTGGATTCCTGGTTTTTAATAAGGTATACGTCTTTAGGGAATGATTTCCTTTTTTCATGCTCTGTATCTTCATTTTATAAGTAGGGATTACAAGCTCTCAGTTTAGCTCCGAGGCTGTAATTCTGTGAAAACAACTGATGCTAAACATTCAGGCTCTGAGAACTTTGCCTACCTTGTATTCTTCATCATCTGCCACTTTTTTCTTCTTGTTGATCCAAGTTTTTAGGTCATCTGAGTCTTGATACAGTTGTTGCAGAAGCAGTGAATCCACCAATAATTTGCGTCGAGTGGCAGCTCTGTCACGTAAGGCATCCCTCCGGGCCAACAACTGCAAAAAATATGCATAAACTCATTGTTAATGAGACCTAACTGGATACCTAAGGTCCACTGCCATCATGGACACCAGGCACACAATGCTTTTCCTGATCCCAGTGCACAGCAAGTGGAAGCTTGGGGACCGTGGACATACCCCGTCACGGATAGCAGCAATGTTCTCAGAATCGTAATGGTCATTGTCAATAAGTTTTGTTGCAGTCTCATCCAAAGTCTAAAAGAAAATAAGAGAAAAAAATGTTTTGCCTTAGTGACCCCTGAGTTTAGCTCTTTATAGATGAAACATAGACAAATGGGAAGATGAAAAGTCTGAGAGTCAGTAGGCCTAGGTCTTATTCCTGATTTCTATAAAAATCTGTATTTAAAACATACACTTTAGGCATGCCGATTGCCTTGTCTGTGGTACAGTACTCTTCCAGTCCAGGTTACAGTAAATAAATGCCGATGAATATTTAATCAGTTCTGAAATTATCTAGACAAAGCAAGCACCACATCAACAGTGAGTCCCTGTCAAAGTCTTTCTAGTTCTTTAATCTCTTTCCACCCATTTGTGTACCATATACATCTGTAGCTACATCTCTGTCTCTAGTTATTTGGGAGAGAGGAGTCAGAAAGTATAGAGGTGAGTGCTTATCCATACGCATTCCCAAATCTCCAAATGGCTATAGTGTAGAATTTATTCATTAGAATTGGAAAATGATCTAAAATAAATAATGACTATAAAATTAACTGTATTACATTGTTAACTACTAGAATAAACAGAATAAGAATATGAATTAATTAATAAGTATCATTACAGGAAATATTTGGAATTTGACTATTGGATTTTTAATGCTGGTCGTAAGATGGTATACAGTGTGTGTATATGTTTGCTTGTGTATATGTGTTTAAAGTAAGCACTATTTTGGGAGACAGGCAAAGACACTCCAGATATTGGGTTTATAGAGTGTTCTTTGTACCTTTAAAGTAGGTTTCATATATTGAGTAATTCTCTGAACTTAGGGTCATAGAAAAATTGTAATAATATTAGGTGAGAAACATAATGATGAAGACATAAAAAGGAGAACTATACAATAAAGGAAAAGAGTAGATATTAAAGAGTAGATATTATTTAGGTCTTCTAAATATGACAACTGAAGTAAAAACTATATTGAGATATATCTAGGAAAGAAAAACTTTTTAAAAATAGATTTCAAACTTTTAAGTGATGACTCTATATTGAATATGGACCAAGTAACTTTTATTAAAAAGAAGACACATCAGATATTTCATCAGAGGAAAATAATGGCCTATTATTTTGAAACATTTTCAAAATTCACTTTGTACTAAATTTACTTTGTATAATGAATGTGTTTATAAAAGTAAGCAGGATAAGTTTCCTGGTATGTCCTACTTTTTATCAGAAGATAAATCTTTATAATTTTTGGCTTTCATATTATCTAAATACATTACACATCTGTAAAATCAAACACAGAGAATTTTTTTTTTTTGTCGGTCATGGGGCCTGAACTCTGGGCCTGGGCACTGTCCCTCAGCTCTTCAGCTCAAGGCTAGCACTCTACCACTTGAGCCACAGCGCCACTTCCGGTT